CACTGAGTATCCAAGGTGACCCTGGAACACATGATCCTTCTGTATCTGCCTGCTGAGGACGAGGGCGGCAAGCAATGATCAGCACACTCAGTTATGCAAAATTAATGTACTGCTGTATAATATTCAGGACTAAAAATGTTTGAATAAATGTATTGAAACAAGCCATCAAAATTATAGATAAAATAGTATGCCATTACTTGTTTTTTATTAAATACCTGAACATATATGAATTTTGATAAATTTGTATCCAGTGGATGCATACAATGAAAAGTAACCTTGAAAGAAGCCTGAATGTGAATAAGCACATGGGTTCATACGATCTCAAAACCCTACCATGTTTATTTATTTATTTATTTTTATATATTTGAATTACAAACAAGATTGAATTACATGATGATCCCAGTTCCCTTCTCCCTTCCTTCCTCCCCTACCACCCCCCAACTAAAATCCTACCTATCATATGTCCTTTCTTCTTAATCTACACCTGACTCAACCTTTCTGCCTCCTCATGACCTCTGCATCCTTCCTTTTCTTCCCTTCTCACTCTCGTAGCTTCCTCCCCCCTCTATCCCTGCTCTCAATTTGCTCAGGGGATGGTGACCCTTTCCCCTTCTCCAGGGGACAATGTTTGTCTCTCTTAGTGTCCTCCTTGTTTACTAGTTTCTCTGGTGAGTGACTACATATCATGTTTGTCTTTTTGTGATTGGGTTACCTCGTTCGGAATGGTTTCTTCAAGTTCCATTAATTTTCCTGCAAACTTCAAGATTTCATTGTTTTTTTTCCCCGCTGAGTAGCACTCCATTGTGTAAATGTATCACATTTTCTCCATCCATTCTTTGGTTGAGGGGCATCTAGGCTGCTTCCAGTTTCTGGCTATTACAAATAATGCTGCTATGAACATGGTTGAACAGATGTCTTTGTTATATGAATGTGCATCTTTTGGGTATATGCCTAGGAGTGGAATTGCTGGATCTTGGGGTAGACTCATTCCCGCTGTTACCCTACCATGTTTGATATGCAGAAAGAGAAACACAGGGGATTTGGGGTGGGTGAAGTCATAACATTTTCAAGGCTGGGTCTGTAATATATTGTGATATCAGTCAATAAATGCACCCTTTGTCTTTGGATATTGCAGAAGAGGATTCACCATATTCATATTATAATCATTTCAACACAAAAATTGGTGCTGCTTTTAAAAAAATGCACTATGGAAACTGGAGACGGCATCACTTTCAGATCACCAGAAACCAATTTAAATTCTGGGACAGCATGGTAGTTGTCTTTTATTTTAGCATCACCTTGGGATTGAAAAGTGGCAATCACCAGGTCCATGATGTCTCTTAAGTCTTGCATGGAGCTGAATATCTATATATCTATATATCCATATATCTATATATCTCTATCATCTCTACCTCTCTATCTATCTATCTATCTATCTATCTATCTATCTATCTATCTATCTATCTATCTATCTGTCTGTCTATCTATGCTCAAATGATAAATGCTTCCACTGCCTTGGGCATTTGAATGCTTGAGTATAACATTGCATAAAAAGGAAAACTAAATGCATTTGCAAAACACCTCACTCCAAGGACCACACTGAGTACAGAGCTACTGTTACTGCTTTGGGAAAGAGCCCCAGGATAGGATAATCTTCACCTGTAGCCTTCCATAATCCATGCAGGGCTCAAGCTCCAGGGTTGATTGTCTCCATTTGATGGATTCAACCTTTGTAGGTAGATTCTCCTGTCAAAAAGATGCCAGTTTTTGGAACAGCACTGGTGTCTCCTCTGTGAGAATATCCTTTCCACTGCAGCCTGGAGACTTGAAAGAAAGTACTCAAATGTGTAGATATAATATATCTTTCATGCTTGCTTCTGGATAGAGACTCGGTGGCCAAAGGATATTGGGGCTGAGGATCGATTATGATATTTTTGTTGCAAACCTCAGCTCAATTCCAGGAGCTTGAATCACACATTGTCTTTTAGATGTTTGGATGGCCTGGCTAAGGAAGAGAACGGCTCCCAGTTTGTATAACAATAGACCTATGCCCTGGTGGGACCATACCTATTCTGAGGGCTAGTGAAACAGGCCTGGTGCCTGAAGGCTGGGGCCCCTGTGGAATGTCTGAGAGTTTGTATACATGGTTCTATGATTGCCTCTAGAACTAAAGGAAATATTTGACATCAGCTTTATACATGATAATAGATGTCTTCTGCTATCACTACCACTGTTGGAAAGCTATTTAAGAGGACTCCAGCATGGACTGAGCGCCCTCCTGGGATGACAAGATGTCTTTGACTCATCCTTAAAGTCATTGGGTAGCTAGGAGTTTCCCGATCCACACTCCCCTACTCAGGTTTGGACCCGGGGCTGTTTGGCTGGCTCTGATTGCAGCCCCAAATACATCAGTCCGGAATAGATGGCCTCTGTAGCATGGGACTGTTACAGATCAACCCCCAGCAAAAGGGACAAAGATGACTGATTATCAATAGTAGATTGGCAGCAACCACTGTAATATATGTAGTACATATACTCCAAGATCTTCTCCCAAAGGCTTATTGGGTTGTTTCACAGGAAGCAACAGTGATAGCATTCACTGAGGGAGTTCATATCACAACTTGAAACCACTAGTTATTATGAATTAGCAGGAAAAGCTATAAGTGAATTGTGGGAGTCCAGGAAGGAAGAAAGGACATGACTTGGATTATAGGGAGCAAAAACTGGTAACAAAGATGGAATAAAGTAAACTCTGATAACCTGTCACTTGTCTCCCTTAATTTTAACTGACAATTGCTTCATGGAAACCTGTCAGAGGAGGGGCTATAGTGGGTAAAGTGCTGGCTGTGTAAGCTGTATAATCTTAGCTCAGATCCAAAACAGCACTGTTATCTATCACATGTCAAAGTAAAAGACGTGATATAGCCACATATGACTACAGACTGCTCAGTCCCAAGTCCTGGGACCTTGACTATTTTTAAATTTTCAGTTTTGTTGGTCATACATTTATAAAACCTGAATGTTTTATATTTTTTTTCAAAATTATTGTCAACTTCACTGATTTTATAATACTATGAAATTATTATTGACAACACTAAGCAATGCATTTTTGCTTGTTGCTTTTTCATTCTTGTGGGTAGGTTTTTGGAGTGGTAATAAGCAGATGTCCTACTGCTGTTGCTCAACATTTGGTATTGACTGGTGCTTCTGGAGGGGTCAAAGAGTAGCCACTTATTTAAGACAATC